CTCTTCCCATGACCCTAGCAGGCACTGGACGTCGAGTGTCCTGTCCTTGGGCCGCGGAGCTGTGGGCAGAGGGGCTGTGCAGACACAGCGGCTCCAGACGAAGCTGAAACAGAACAGGTTGCGCTTCTAATAAACCTGCACCTCAAGCTCCACAGGTGCCACGTCTGTTGAACTTTTCCTTCTTCCAAGTAACCATTTGCAGACATATTTTATTACTAAATCAAACTCGTCCTAAAGTACCTGGCTAGCCCACAGTTTATTCACAGCTGTACCTCCGATGTACATTTATTTGACTCTAGCAGAACCTCCATGCTGTCAGTGACAAGAACCATGATAAGACGGGCAGCGGCCGTGCCCTGAGCAGGCGAACCTGGCGGGAGGCTGTGTCGAGTCTGAAAACACCCCGGGCTGTGGCGTGGCAGGTGTTGCTGCCGACCGATCCCCAGCACGGGCGAGGCCGGGGTCTCGGGCAGGCGTGGGCCGCCGGCCCCCGCTCCACAGCCCCGGCTCTTTGAGGCTCGCGCTTCTGCCTGGAATTGAACTACAGCAAAAGCAATCCAGGTTTGTGAAGTTTGAATCAACTTTTGAAAAGAAACAGCCTGAATTTTAACAAACGTGTTCCTACTTAGAAACTTGAGATGAAAAGGGTTGAAAGGGACTCCAGTTTCTGGTCCAGCACATGATGAGCTTGGGAGCTGTCATTCAATCCTCACGAGAGACAATCCAAACAAGCTGAAAATAGATGATTCTTCTTAGGTCCCTCAGAGGAGCAAGGTCACAGGGAAAACTGCTGCCCCCCAAACTGGGGAGACAGACAGACGGGCCCAGAGAGTCAGAGCCCACTGAGCAGAGAGCACCGCACGGTCAGGACACTAAGAGAGGCCGAGCGTGGGCAGCTGGTGGGGGAAGCGCACCCAGGCTCAGGGCCTACACTGTCGCGGGCTTTACCTCCTGGAAGCTAACCAGGTCCTCACGCCGCAGATCAAAGAAAAATCCCCAGACTTTTCTGGCAGGGGAGGGGAAAGTAGCTATCGTGAAATATGCCCAGACAACTCTGTTCTTCTTAAAGGCCCGCCCTCAGGGAAACCCTGAGCCCAGCCCACTGGGGTCTGATCAGGGCCTAACCAACGGGGGAGGGAGATAGACGATTGCAGCCTCCTCTAGCCTTCCTGTGCAACCTGAGAAAACAAGAAGAGCAAATTAAATCCAAAATAAGCAGAAGAAAAGAAATAATAAAATTGGAGCATACGTCAATGAAATTGAAAACAGACACTCAGGAGAGAAAACTAATGAAGCCAAAAACTAGTTCTTTGAAAAGATCAATAAACTTGGTAAACCTTTAGCCAGGCTAACCAAGGAAAAAAGAAGACACAAATTACTAGTATTCGAAACGAGAAAGGGGTCATCAGTACTGATCCTGTGGACATTAAAAGGATGATAAAGGTATATTGTGAACAAGTCTATGCCTATAGATTTGATAACTTAGATGGCCCACTTCTTTGAAAGATACGATCCACCAAAACTCATTCAAGGAGGACTAGATAGTACGCATGGGCCTTTGTCTATTAAAAGGAATTCAAATCAATAATTAATAACCTTCTAAAAACATCATGCCCAGATGGTTTCCCTGGTGAATTCCACCAAACATTTAAGGAAGAATAATTATACCAATTCTCTACAATCTCACCCAGAAAATAAAGGCAGAGGGAAAACTTCCTAATTCATTCTATGAGGCCAGCATTACCCTAATAACAAAACTAGATAAAGGTATTACAAAAAAGAAAAACTATAGGCCCGTATCTCTCATGAACAGAAAATGCAAATTCCTCAATATAATATTAGCAACTCAAAACTAACAATGTATAAGAAAAATTATACACTATGACCAGTTCAGATTTATCCCAGGTATGCCAGCCCGATTCAGCATCCAAAAAATCAGTTAATGTAATCCATCACATCAGTAGGCTAAGGAAGAAAATCACATGATTATATTAATAGATACAGAAAAAGCATTTGATAAAATCCAACACCTATTTATAATAAAGACTCTGAGCAAACTAGGAATAGCGGAGATCTTCTCAACTCAATAAAGAACATCTACAGAGATTTTACACTAACATCAAAATTAATGGTGAGAAACTAGATACTTTTACCCTAAGGTCAGTAACAAGGCGGGGATGTCCACTCTCACTATTTCTCTTCAACATCATACTGGAAATCTTGGCTAATACAATAAGACCAAAAAAAAAGGAAATTAAAGGCTTATTGATGGGAAGGGGCTGTCTTAGTTCTTAGGTGACATGTTTACATAGAAAATCCCAAGGAACCACCAACAACAACAGTAGCAACAAAAACTGGTACCAGTAAAGCAAGGTTGCAGGATATGAGGTTAATAAGCATACGTCAGTGGCTTTCCTCGATACCAGCACTGAACAGGTAGAATTTGAAATTAAAAACACAATATCGGGGGCCTCCCTGGTGGCGCAGTGGTTGAGAGTCTGCCTGCCGATGCAGGGGATACGGGTTCGTGCCCCGGTCCGGGAGGATCCCACATGCCGCGGAGCGGCTGGGCCCGTGAGCCATGGCCGCTGAGCTTGCGCGTCCGGCAACGGGAAAGGCCACGACAGTGAGAGGCCCACATAT